CCCCCCCCCCCCCCCCCCCCACATGGACAAAGTGGGATGATCAGTGTAGTTCACAGTTTAACTGAACATATATGGTGGTACTAAATTAGTTTGCCTCGGAGGAATCACACTATTTCCTCAACACTTACATTGAGCCTCAAAATAGCCTTTACCATTTACCACGCATCAGAGCGCCCGCCCTAAAGTCAAAGTTTATTTCCTTTTATAGCAAAGCTTTTTATTGTATCATATCTCTGCCTAAAATTATCTCATTGATATGATTTCTCTGAGTTTTAGTATAGTGAGATGAAGGAGTTCATGGTGAGATGTGTTTCTGGCATTACAATCTCACACCAAAAGGAACCTTTCCCAGAGTGTTGTCTTTGTATTAGAAAAAGGAATAGTTACGAACCCAAACTCGTCCTCAGCCTTCTTCAACAAGCTCTGGAAACAAGGGCCGTGGTTCAGGTACACACGCTATAGGAACCACACACATACATCTTCTTCTTCTCCATCTCCTCCCCTTCCCCCACGTATATTTCCAAGTGACCCTTTGGAACAATACTACTGTTACTCGTCTGATTTCTCGCCCAGCTGAGCGGCTGCCGGAATTACTTGGCGTTCATTATTATACCCGACATTAAACAGCCAATAGCCATTATTTTCACCCTGATCTGTGATGAGTATTGAGTTTGGACTGAGTTTGATCGAGCTGTTGAAGTGTTGAGTGAGTGTTATTTATAGAGGGGATCAGAGTGGGCAAAAACGTGTGGCCAAACGCTAAAAAATCTTCTTGTTTTGACTTTTTTTAGTCGAATTGGGACACTTTTTGACCATAATTTAAACATAATCTAAATAAATAAATGTTATAAAAATTTGATACTCCTGTCCCCATTTTGATTAGAATTTTTTCTGTTCTCTCGATAACTTTTGTTTATTTATGCGATTTCATTAAGTATTTAATAAAATAAAATATTTTTGTCACCTTTTGTTTTGTAGAACTTTTGACGTAGTTTTTTAATATGAAATTTTTATTTCTTATTGATATACCAATTTGTAAATAAAATGATTTCAAAAGGTAAAAAAAATTTCTTCTTAAACCCCAATTTGTAATCAAATTGGAGACGGATGGAATATATCAAAGTTATATCCTAAGATGAATTTAATTATATTAAATTTATATTATAATTCAATAGGAAATGATCTAAATGGACGAGGCTAACTATATGGCCAATACGAAATATTATTTTTGAATTAAAAGAAAGAAAAATAAAAATGCTTCATCCCTTTTTATTACTCCGTATTATTATTATGGATAAAGTTATTTGTACCTTAAGGGTTTGTACCTCATTTGTGTTGGTGTAATGCTAATTTTTGTTAACGCACCAATACCTTGTGTCAGGGTAAATTTATGTTAACGCACCAATACTTTATGTCAGTGTGAACCATCAAAATGTTGGTGCATACCTTTGGTGTAAGTTTGGGGTATAATTTTTTGTGTAAGTGTAGCATGGTGTTATTATTATTTGACCCCTTGCTTGTTCCTCTCCAGCTTCCTTTCCCCTAAATAATTCTCAATGTGTTGAAACTAACTAAATCTGACTTGAATTATGGAGTAATATTTTTTGAGAAAAAACTAAAATATGAGTATTAATCCCCTTTTATCTCTAATTTGATTATAAATTAAGAGTTATGAGGTAAAGTCTCTCGTCTTTTGAAATCATTTTATTTACAAATTGATATATCCATTAGAAATAAAAATTAGAAAAAAATATCTCAAATAATCTCACCTTTTCGCGCCTTTTAAAAAATAATCCTACTTTTCACTATCACCAGAAATAATCTCACCTTTTCACATATGTGTGAGTTTTGGTCAGCGTTAAAAAACTAACGGCTACTTAACGAAATTTCTAGAGAATGTATGTTTTTCGCAGAAAAATGAAAGGTGAGATTATTTGAGGCAAATTTACTTTTTACTTTTTTTGATATTACATTTAAAATTAACATTTTAAAAAATAGAACAGTACACTCTTGTTAGAGATTTGTCTAACGATTCACAAATTTTGTTTTCTGTTCTGAGAAAAATAATATTGAATTATCAATAATAATTCAGAGTATTGATTAAGAAAGAAATTGCAATACAAAAAAAATTGTAGTGAGTTATAAAACTTTTAGTTCCGTTTCAGAGAAAAAAATTAGTATGCCATTTTCACAACTTTTGAATTACTATTTTGGGGAAACATTTGTACTAAATTATAAGAAAATCACAAATTAGGTAGTTCCATTTTAGAAAAAAAATATAATAGGCAATAAAAGATTATCAATAAATATTTTTGAGTGTTGTTCATAAAAAATTGCAATGCAACAAAACATATAGTGAGTTATAAAAATAAAAGTTCCATTTCAGAGATAATAATAACATACTATCAAAAAACAATTCGAACTCTCGCTCAAGAAAAGTAATTTCAACTTACAAGAAAATGTAGTGAGTTATGAAGTAAATAAATTAGCTCTATTGTGTAGATTAATTTTTTTTAATTATTACCAGATTATCGATGTTGAAAAAACAATTAGTTTCACTAAAAAACACTTAAATTTGGTATTATTTTTCCAAAAAAATTCAAAATACATTTAAATTTAAAGTTAGAAATTAAAAAATGAAAAAAAAGAGAATTTAGCTAAAATAATCCCACCTTTCATTTATTGACGAAAATAGCCATTTTTCAAAAATTCCATTAAATGACCATTAGTTTTTTAAAAGCGACCCAAAACTCGCACGCATGCGAAAATGTGGGATTATTTCCAATGACAGTGAAAAGTTGGATTATTTTTGAAAGAGCACAAAAATATGGGATTATTTGAGATAATTTTTCCTAAAAATTATGTATAGAAAAATCACGTCAAAAACTCTACAAAATGAGAGGTGACAATAATGTTTTATTTTTTTAAATAAAGGCTAAAATCCATTATTGGTTCTTCAACTTTATGAGTTGTGCACGATTGGTCTATCAAGTTTCAAAAGTTCATGAGTAGTTTTTCAACCTTAGGAGTTGCGCGCGGTTGGTTGGTCCTTTAAGTTTCAAAAGTTCACAAGTAGTTTTTCAAGTACACGTCAGCACTCTAGATGATGTCCTTTTGACAGTAAACATTGAAAGCTAAATGGAATATTAGTTCTATATAATACGAGTAAATTCTACTATGTACCAATACTCCGTATTATATGAAGCTAGTACTCCATTTAACTTTTAACTAGATCTGTGCAAACAAGGGTCGGCCCGTTCGGCCCGCCCAGCTCGCCCTTTAAAAAGGGCGGATATAGACAACCTTTAATACCCAAACGGGCAGGCCGGCCCAAGCCTGAATTGTATATGGGCGAATCTCGAAGTTACTTTTAGCCCATCTGGCCAACAGGCCCGCCCATATTTATCAAATATATTTACTTTATTATTAATTACCTAGCCAATATAAATTACAAAATTTTCTATAACTCATGTGTAATAGTTTAATTCACTCACATCTTTTAAACAAAAATCAATACTCTTGTAATAAAGGTCGTCCCCATGCTTGTCATCATCAGTGGGATGGCAGGAGTGCTTTCACTCACAGCCTGGCTTGAAACAACGTTGTGGTTGCTTGAAGACATGATTGTGGATATTTAGTGGGGGCAAAGTTTTGACCTGGTCGAAAAAACTTTAAAAAACGGTCCCACGGATGGCGCCAAAAATGATGGTGTAAATATAGCTAGGCGGGTTAACCGGGTTTAACCTGGACACTTGACCCGTAATATAAAACACACAACAAGAACACAAAGTATGACCTAGACCGGGTAAATCTCCTCAGTCCGAAATATATTTCTTACTCTGTCTCAAGAGTGTACTAGTTTTTAGTGAGAGAAAGAATTGGATCCCCTCCTCTATCCAATATCATCATATTTATAGAGGAGGATTTGTGACCTTCCCCTGTTCATCCATGGACAAAATGGGAAACCCGGAGGAAGGTCACTGTACATAATCAATTTACTATTCAATCAATGAATCTAGCAACTACAAGCCAAGACATGCACTGTTCAATCAAAGACTATAACATGGATATTCTCAATCCAATCAATCCTGCAAAACGCCAATCATTCCCTTCACTGTTTGCCTCGTGATGGATGAGCGGCGGGGTGTCCCCTAGCCTCTGATGTTGATTGCCCTTCTCAAGTAGCGCAACCTGACCGGTCACCTTTCCTCAAAGGTTACCCGGTCATTTCTTGAGTTCAACCCATCTCTTTGGTCCTCTGGAATATCCTTCGCAACTTTAAGTGACGAATTGGCTATCGCCCCAAATGTGACCGGTCACTTTTTTAGTGGAAGTGACCGGTCAATTTTTGACCCGTCCCAATCGAAGAGTTAACATCATTTGGTGACTTGATAAAA